CCAGGGGTCTGTGTGAGACCTATATTCTCCTTTTGGTTTTTCTTCATTTGTGCGGTTTTTCCCCCTGCCTACTTTTTCCTTCCCTCCACATCACCGTCTTCTTTAATTCTGTTATTCAGGGGTCAAGGGATTGGTTTTACTTCTGTTTGTTCAATCTCCTATTCTTTATGTATGTCCTCTTACTTTGCTCAGTTCTGGAGTTGCACTGTAGGTTGGAGGTGGTCCTTTTTGCAGTTTTGAGATTTACTTAAGGGGAGAGTTGTGATTCAAAATCTCTCTGCAGGTCCTGGTATTCGCTGACAGGTGTGTGGATAATGTGGAACCCACTTCCCACTGCGCTGGAATCTGTCCATGCAGTGGGGCTGTAGGTTTACTCCCTGAAATAAAATGTGGTTAGCAGAGGGGAGAGAATGGAGCAGATAGTGGGTTGAAGAGGGGAGTGGAGAGATAGAGGAGTAAGGGGGGAAACAAACAAGTGTGCCAACAAATATAAAGAGAGGCCTAAACTGAAACAGATAAAAACAATAGACCACAGCTGCAGATGAACCAACTCTCATACAAAAAATAAAAAAAAATAAAACATATAGTGATGCTAACATACAAGCTAACCAACCACCTTGTTAGTGTGCTGTTCCTCTATACCAAGATATGGTTTACAGAGAGAAGAGAAGAGAAGAAAAGGAAAAGGAAAAAAGGAAACAATGCAGTAGGAATAGAATTAAGTCATTAAACTAATAGAATCAATGAAGCACACTCTGAGACATTTTGTTTAAGTCCAATGTCCTTTCAGGTCTGATTTCTAGTTTTCTTTTCAAGCTGGTAAATTAGTTTGCAGTTAGGGTCAGTTGCCCCTGATCTGCTGTGAAGGACAGTTCAGATTACTCTCCGTTCAGCACTCTAGTCTATGTCTTTATCAAGCTTGCTTCTCCCGTTTTGGTGTTGTTACCTTGATCGCCAGCAGGTGGTGCTATCTCAGCTGCTTGCCCCAGAGGGGGTGGGGCCGGACAGGAACAAGATGGCTGCCTGCCTCAGGGCAGGCAACAGGAGCCTTATGGCGGGCAGGCAGGACAGTCTCAGCCACAGGAGAGGTGGCAGCGATCCCAGCAGATCTTCCCTGAAGGGGTTTGATGTGGATTGCCTCTGCCCGAGTGGTGTGATGTGCTACGGCCGTCACAGAGACCATGGAAGCGGCAGCGGCAGCAGCGGCCGGGGGGAGGGGCTGCGGCGGCACCATTTGCGCTGCAGTGACTGTCCAGTCCGTTGCGATGTCCCAGCGGTGGCAACGGCCGAGCTCTGTATGAAGAGCAGGCTGCGATGTTGGGGTCCACAGCCCCCTGGGGCGAGACAGAGACCCACTGCAGATCTCCTTTGCAGAGGGCTTCAGAGACCGGGTTGCCCCGTCGCCATCTTGCAGCTTCTCCTCCATTACAAGTATTTTTTAAATTGTCTTGCCATTTATAGCTCTAATGTCCTGATGGGTACACTTAATCTGAAGATCCTTGAGAGATTTTTAGTATAAGTATCTTTAGGGTAAATGTTTGTATCTTTAAGCCTTTATAAAATAAAAGATTTTTAGAACATTGGCCTTCTGTTTCATATAGCCCATGACCTACCTTCTTACCCAGCTTCCTCATCTATCACATTTCCCCTCATCTATGGACACAAGCCAACCTGACCTCTTCTCAGTTGCCTTGTCACACCATTTCCCCACCCATGTGAAGGCCTGCGTAACACGTCATTGCCTCTGCCCGGTATTCTTGCCCTTGGTTTGCTTTGTAATGCCCTTTTTTTTTTTTTTGAGTTGGAGTCACCCAGACTGGAGTGCAGTGGCTGCTCCCGGCCACCGCAGCCTCGAGCTTCTGGGCTCCGGCGATCCTTCTGCCTCAGCCTTCCAAGTAGCTGGAACTACAGGCGCGCGCTACCACGCACAGCTACTTTTTTGATTTATTGTAGAGATGAAGTCTCGCCAAGTTGCCCAGATGGTTCTCGAACCCATGGGCTCAGGCGATTCACTCCCCTCAGCCTCCCAAAGCGCGGGGTTACAGGCTGAGCCACCGAGCCC